AATCTAATTCTGATGAGGAGGCTGAGATTATCAAGACTATTCTGCATCAAGGGGGTAAGGGTTCTTACCAGAATTTAAAAATAGACTTCAAGGTAGAGATTCCTATTTATGATGAGAGTGTCAACGTCGAGAGGCTTGATGATTAGATTGAGCAGATGGAGACATATTTTACCCTCTACGGATATTCATCCAAGGAGATGCTCGTGTTCGCGACTTTGAAGCTTTCGAGGCATGCATTGACATGGTGTAAATCCTATTGCAAGCAGGAAAGGAAGACAATGTCGTGGAACAAATTCAAGGAGTTGCTGAGGAAGCAGTTCTACCCAGTGGGATTCCTTGAGGAGCATTGGTACAAGTGGTACGACTTGTGCCAAAGAGTCAATCAAACCGTTCAAGAATACACCACGGAGTTCCAGCAGCAGACGATGGTCCTTAATATTACGACGAAGGAATATTCGGTGTCTATGAAGTATATGGCGGGATTGAGCGATTACATCCGAAATGAGATAAAGTTATTCATGGTGGAATCTATTGCAGAGGTGAGCATGAAGGCTATTGCCATTGAAGGCAAACAAAAGAGGAGCAACGAGGCAAAGGGAGATGCAAAACAAGCTGGAGGCGAGTCTAACGGTTCTCAATCTAAGGAGGAGAAGAAGAAGGGTGATCCAGGGAAAGCAAAACTAATTTGTAGTCATTGCAAGAAGACAGGGTACGTAGCTGATCAGTGCTAGGATAAGTATCATCATCTCAAGCTAAGGGGGTTGAAGAAGAAGGAGGAGAAAAATGCATACGTGATAGCTCGAGTTCCGAAAGAAGTCCCGGGGATGACAGAGCCCAACCATAGTATCAACCTTATGATGGGGAAGCAAGCTAAGAAAGAGGACGATGACCCTAGAGAGCAGCTCTTTGTTCTTAAGTTACAGATGAAGACTAGTTTAGTAGATGCCATAGTTGATTCAGGCAGCGAGAAGAATTTGATATCCGAGGCACTGGTTTAGAAGCTGGGTCTGAAGACAGTCAAGCATCCAAAGCCCTATCCATTAGGGTGGATTCAGAAGGAGACGAGACCGAGTGTAGTTGATCAATGCACTTTCAGATTTATGCTCCATGAGTCGTATATTGACGAGGTTATGTGCGACGTAGTTCCATTGGATGTTTGTCAGGTTATACTTGGCAACCCCTATTTTGTAGGATAGATACGCGATCTACGAGAGGCAGGCTCAGAAGTACACATTCACCAAAGATGGTAAAAAGTTCATATTTCGTTCGACATCTCTTCTGAAGGAGACAAACTTAGTGACGGTGAACCGGGCGAAGAGGTTAGTGAATGCAAGTAAGAAGTTTATTGTGCTATGCATTAGTTCTTATGAGGAGCCACTGAAAGAGGGTTACAATTTGGAGCGGAAGGTGACTATGACGAGATGCGAAACGAAGAAGTTGTTTCCGATCGGACGTCGAGACAGGATTCCTAGCAAGCCCAAGTGGTTCAGAAAAAGAAGGAGGGATTCGCAAGTTCCCTCAGCTATATTTCTAACTTTAAAGAGACTTCAAGTTTCTAAATGGGGGAGCCATGATACGGGTGTATCTTCTTTCTTGCTTTGGGAGCTTAGCGATCCTCATGGGAGCTTGAGGATAGATAATTCTCATGATATATTGAGAATAGAAACGTGAATGAAGTCGTTGAAGGCGGCAAAGGCAAGGATTCTAAGAAAAAACTGCAGGAAACATTTTGAGCTTCTAGTGGTCGATCGCACGTGACACCGCGGTCGACCGCGAACGTGGACAAAATCCTGGGAGGTCTTTAGACTTTTGGTGGTCGACCGCAGCGACATGTGCGGTCGACCGGCCAAACCCTGTAAAGGGTTTTGGTTTCCGTCGTTGGATCCGGTCGACCACGATGGTCTCCGCGGTCGACCACGACGGTCTCTACGGTCGACCGTGATGGTTTCATGGGCCTTCCTGGTTCATTTGGGACTCTGTTTTCCTGTTTAATTTTGGTTTGTTTAATTACAAGTTTACCATCAACATTGTAAACTCTATAAAGAGGATTGTTTTAAGGTTCTAAAGGGGAAAATCAGAGAGGTGAGATCCTAACCAAGAGATTAGATTTTAGAGAGAATTGGGAGATTATTCTTGATTCTAGAGAGATTGTGAGAGAGGGATTTGTAATCTATTATTCTCATAATCTAGAGAAGGTATTTTCCTTCGCCAAAACTGAATTGTTCTTGTGTTTTCTATCATCTTCTTCACAACCCACTCTTGATAATTCCGCGTTCAAGGGTGCTCGCTCAGCGACTAGTATCATCTAATACATTTTAAATAATTATATCTTTTTTATTTTGAAAATCTTGTTTCCAAGGAAATTTGAATATGGAATTCTCTTATAATATCTTAACTTGTCTTCTACTTCATTAAAACTTCAAGAGGTAACATAATAGTTACATATCTAGATGTTAATGTAAGAAATATTGGTAGACATTATAATGTATGAAATATTATAGATGTAATGGGTATTTGTTTAAAAAGAATGTTCTTTATATGAGAGATTGATTTCTATATTGCTTTGTTCATTATCAATGATTCAATCAGTACTTAGGTGATCTGCTCTAATTCCCTATGCATTCATGTTTCATGTTACTTTGTGTTCAGAAGGTTATATGTCTTGATATGTCATTGTTATTGTTTTAGCCTTTCCTATGACCATAAAACCATGGCGAAACAGTAAGAGACATGGGGAGCTGCTAGGAGATCAACAACTTGATTCTATTTAGTTGAGGTCAGGTATTTGGTGAATGGAGATGTTTTTTAAGCGTTATTTTTTATTGCTAAATGTTGCTAATGTTCCATTGTCCTTGTTATTGTTTTAGCCTTTCCTATGACCATAAACCATGACGAAACAGTAAGAGACATAAGGAACTGTCGGGAGATCAACAACTTAATGGTATTTAGTTGAGGTTAGGTCTTTGGTGAATGAAGATGTTTTTTAAGTGATTATGTTACTGGTGACCTAATTTTGGAAGATATACCTTTGATATATGTTAAATTGCTAAATAAAATTATTAATAGTTAACATTATACACATAGTTTTTGCAAAGTTTACATTTTTAGGAAATTATTGGTGTGAATCCTTGTTTATTGTATTGTTTCACTCCACTTTTGCTTGTATTTTGGTTCAGGAATTTCTTGTGTCCATTATTGGCTTTGGTAAGAAGTAAGGTCGACTGAGAAGGGACTAACTTGAGCAGACTTAATAGATTTAAAATATAGATTTTTGGACATAGTGAATCACTTTGATTACTTTAGCCCGAAAATTTTCGGATTGCTTGTGACTGGAACATTTAGTTTGTTTGTCATTATATATACGTTCCTTAGACTACAAAGGGAGGCATCGTTGAATTGTGTCAAAGCTGCTGCGAGAGAAAGGAGGAAAGTGTGGAAGAAATTAAAATGTCCCGTCTCTAATCAATCTTGGATTGAGGACAATGTTTGCAGTGGGCACTCTTCAACTTGTTGTGTATGCTTATCATCTTTGGTATCTCCACAAGTTGGAGGCACAAAGGGAAGCTGCAGCGTTCGTCTTCATAGGTGTTCAGTTTGTGGTGTGGCGGCTCATGTCTACTGTTCACAATATGCAACAAAGGATTGTAAGTGTGTAGCTCATGCGGGTTCAGCTAAATTGTTGCATCATTGGTCAGAGAGATGTGTTGAGTTGGATGAGAATCCTGAGACATCTTCATTTTGCCATTAATGTGATGAAATGTGTGATATAGCTTTTATTGGTGCCAATCCTACTCCTGTATAGCGATGCTTGTGGTGTCAGCGACATATACATGTAGATTACCATGCCAAATTATTAAAAGAGAGTGGTAATGTTTGTGACCTTGGGCAACTTAGAAGGCTTATTCTCCCCTCTCTCGGTGAAAGAAGTAAATGGAAGAGGTGCAACTTGGGGGTGTGTTGAATTCTATTAAGGAAGGGATCATTGCTTCGTCAGTGAGGAGTCGTATGAGAAAACGACGTAACCGTAATAAATCCGGAAGCAATCAAACTTCACTATCTAATGGTAAATTGCAGAATGGTTCAGATAACAACTCGACAATTCAATCTGTGCATAAGGGGGCTTGTTTCTCTGGACAAGTCATTCAATGAAAAAAAAGTGGTAATCTTTTGAAGCAAGACAGCGGGCTATCAAGACTTAAATTTGTTGATAATGACGCCAACAGGAAGAACGGAAGCACTATGGTTGCTGATAACAAAAAGAAATACGAGATAGTTATAGATGCAACAAGTGTACTATCACCCAATCAATCACTAAATGAAATTTCATTGCTCAAATGTTGAATTTTTAGCTTATGTCTATATGTTTGATACATTGCTTACATTCAATAATTTAATAACAAATCTTTCCCTAAATAAATTTAAAATTTTATAATAAATGATAAAAATTTTACCACGTGCATTGCACCTGCAATCCAACTAGTACTTACAAGTGTGTACATGTATATAGTTGTACATATATATGCTTGCATACTTAAATATATGCAATTATATATACTTAGAACTAGAGGTTATGGCAATTTTCCCTCAAAAACAAACAATATACATTTAGAAATATATATATATAAGTATACATTAATGACCATATTATAATATAATTATATAAAAATATATATAAAACATATATAAATTTAATGGCCGGGTCAGGCCGGGCCTAGGTTGGGCTTCAGCAACACAATCCGGACTCGGACCCGGATTTTTTTGGGCTTTTTCCAAGCCCACACCTGGTTCGGGCCCGGCCGGGTCTGGTTAGGACACCAGACTGCGTCTAGAGCGAAAGTCCAACTGAACCTCCCTACAGACTTGCCACTTAGCTATTGGTTAAGTATACGGTTTGGATCCGTGTCCATTTAGTGTTATCCGGACCCGGCCCGACAAGGTAGCAGAAGGGACCCTCAAGAAGAGCCCCGCGCCACTCGCGAGAAGTCTAGCGGGCACACGTAGCCAGCTCCCCTCGTCCAAAGATGCCCATCTGTCGAAGGGGGAGAAAAGGGAGCCGTCGCTGGCGTTTTAATAAAACGCCAACAGAGATCAAGCAAACGAGCGATGTCCTCACTCTACACTGCCAACCTCTTGAGAAATCTCTTCTCCCCTCTGCCGACGTCATCCTTTTCTTCTTCGTCCTCCACTTTTCTTCGATCCCCTTCATCAACAGCAACCACTGCCACTGGGTTCTCGTTCTGCTCCGGGACCCACCCTCTACTGAAGATGCAGGTACTCCGCTGGCCTCTTTGTTTGCCTTTCAATTTTGGGCCTTTTTGTTTTAGGTTGATTATTGGATTCTCTTTGTGGAAAAAATCGACACCATCAAGTACCACTTAACAGTACGAAAACTCCAAAGTCGTGGCGAGCGTGGAGGGTTATAATTTTATATTCTAGCAATACTTTCAATTCCAGGTTAAAGTAGTATTCAAGATGAATCTTTATATGCTACTAAAAAAAAGAAAAAAAAAAGAGAAAAAGAAAAAGAAAAGATGGATCCTTGTAGGTTAATATAGCTATTACTTCTGTTGGCCCGGAAATAGAAGACATGGAATATATATGTATTGAGATTGGCCATTTATTCCATTTACTCCATTTATTGCCCATGAATAAAGTGAATACGCTGAAAGATGAGGAAAGAGACTGGTACCAAAATAGAATAGGTGGGTTATTTGAAGTTTGACTTCAATAACTGGGTTAGGGTTAGTCTGAGTACTAATGTAATCTATTTGGGTTAAGAGAAAATCAATCATGACAGCCAACCCATTCAGTTGTCTAATGGAGTCTGGAGGAAGCACATCCTAATTCGCTTTACATGTTGTTCAATATTTGCTCTCTCTTGCCTCTGCACTGGATTACAAGAATAAATTGTCTTATAACGTTTCAAGCCATCAGTTTCCTGTGGTCATGAGTCATGATGATTAGCTGCGCGCAATATCTCGAGTATAATATTTTGTGGATTGAAGTTGTCTTTATAGTTTCTTATACGTCCGGAATCTATCGCATGAATAATCTGGATGCATGCACGCAACTATTTAGAAAAGTTCATAGACCTTTTACATGAATTTTATAGCACAGGATTTGGAGACAATTAGATTGATCTTCTTATAAATGTCTGTTATCTCTTTGCACTTTTCAAATAATAGGTTATCTCTTACCTTAATTCTCATTTAAACTAACAGGTTTTCTTAGAGGCATGCATCTTATCATCCTTCTATCTCAAAGAGATAAAAATACTCCCTGATATGTGGATTTTATTTTATTTGCCATCTGTGGGTAGCGTTTCTCTATAAAAATGTTGTTACAAAATTTAAAATGCAGTAAGAAACACATCCTTGGATAGCTAGGTTTCAGTCCATAATTAAAGGCAGTGCTCAATGAGTTGTGTATCATAAGTATACTTTTTTTCTGAATTTTGATCATAATGATGCATTTCTTAGCGGAGCTTAGTTTGATACCTTGAAATTTGGCATAAGTTTACAATAAATTTTAATCATCTTGCAGTTGAGTGATAATCAACTGCATTTGACTGGTTTATACTCCTTGAGAGAATGATTTCAATAGGTCGTACTGAAGTGGTAATGGATATGTTATGATCATTATATGGAAACAATGTTAAACGGGAGGAAATGCACCTATTTTCTTTCTTACTTCGGATCGAGAGATTTTTTTTTTTGCCTTTGGAACTGGAGGATCTTTGGAATTTTTTTTACTTGGATATTGTTGATGCCCGTTCATTGCTTTTTCCCCCTATTGATCATATTTTCGCTTCCTCTTTAAACTTCTTAGTCACTACATTTATCACAAATATATCAATTTTATTTTCTCAAAGCAAGTTTCTTTTTCCGTGTCAGTATACAACCTCAAGTCATTCTGCAAGCGAGTTATGACAATCCTTCTATAAAGATGGCTAGCTTGGCTCAGTCTCATACTCATAAATATTTCTTGCCTTTATACTTCTTTCACGCCTTTTGTACATTATGCTTTCTTTGAAGATTTTGTCTCCAAGAATCACGAATTTTGGGATACATGTGGCATGCATTATTTAACTACTGTCCTTCTGAAGAAGATTTTCCTTCATTTTTGATTTCCAGCGATTCTGTACTCAAGGATCTATTAGCAAAAACAAAGGTCTAGTTGAGCAGTTGCAACATTATGGAATTATTAAATCAAGGAAAGTTGCTGAAGTGATGGAAACCATAGACAGGGGATTATTTGTACCAGAGGGCAACCCAGCTTATTTGGATAGTCCTATGCCTGTTGGTTACAATGCAACTATTTCTGCACCACATATGCATGCAACTTGTCTTGAATTGTTGGAAGAACACTTGCAACCTGGCATGCATGCCTTGGATGTTGGTTCAGGTAATGGATCTGCTCAGTTACTATTCATACTGATGACTGTTAACATATTACATAATACATATTCTCAAATAGTTCTTTTGTTCTGAGTAGGAAAGCTGGGTGTGTGATTTCTATATAAATTTCGGATTATTAGTTCCCTGTGTAGCTTGGACGCTTACATTTTGAATCTTTCTTGTGCCACAAGTTGTATATGTGATTTTTAAGGTTTGTCATTGTCTCATGCCCGTGTGATGTAGAACTGCAGATACAAAATGCAACTCATTGTTACAACAATTGATATTACTGTTTTAAATGTGAGATGGGTTGTGTTCTTTTTGCATGTGCATCAAAACCTTATCGGTTAAACTGTTAAAGACTAGAGCCAGGGAATCAATATCAGGTTGATGCATTGAATATTGGTCACTGTGGACCTTCTTGTGTTCCATAGATGAAATGGTCAATGATGATGAGATGATGGTAGCTCACTTTGTAGCAGTAAATTTGAAGTGTAATAACTCTTTAACTCTTTAACATGTTAGTGTAATAACTTATTACCTCTTTAACATATTATAGAATACCATAAATTGTTTTCTAAAATATCTTCTAGCTTAGGTTTTCTTCCCCTTTTTAATAGTCTTTGGTGGACTGCTTTAATTTATTTGTTTTTCATGCTTTCTGCCTGTCGTATATATTTCTAATGAGCAAATAGTTTCCACTTCAATGTTTGATATTTATGGTCATGAATGCTTCAGTACGTAAATTTATGTGCTTAGTATTTTTTTTTCAGATGGTCCACCTTTGTTTAGTATTCTTCATTCATTCTCACAAGGTTTTCAGTGTTTTTCGAAGGTTTCTGTTTTAATACGTTGCTGTGTTCTACATTATGATGCTTCTCTGGTTGTCCTTGAACTGCTAGTGCTGCAGATTACACTAACTGAAATTAGGTTTTGTGGACACTTGTGTATTTTAATACTAATAATGGGTAAGCCCGTTGCCCAAGTGCACTGTAGTTTGTTTAGGCTTCTGTACAATACCTGCTTTATTAGTTATGTTGCGTTTTTTTTTCAATTTTAATTCACAATCATGATATGAGTTAGTCATGTTGCTCATCATGATTGCTATAACTATGAAGTATGGACTCTTCAAACTTATGTTTTCTATTAGTTAAAAATGGTTGGTTACTAGGGAAGTATACTCTTCTACCCTTCGTGCAACACTGCCCCAAGTAAGTGGATCTAATTAACTTCTTTGTCACTTCAGATGACAATAAGTTTTGAGGAAGTACTGAAGGATGAGGCGTGGTGGTAATTCCTTTTTAGTATGAAGATTTTGCCTTTCCAGTACAGCATATAATGTGAACATATTCAAAAGAAGAAACATGAATTATTGTTTTTCGTTGCATTATGGTATTAAACAATACTGGCATGCGGCGTTTAGGTAGAAAAGTGATACAATTACTTAAGGTTACTAAACAAGTCAAGCTTCAGTCTATGTTCATTTTAAATTGTGTAATTTTACAGTGAAGCCATGATCTTCGCAAGCTCACTTCACAGACAGGCTTGGAGAGGAGTGTCTCCCAAGGATTTCATAGGCAAGAATGATTTTTCTTTGAAATGGTCATGGACCTCTTTGGTTGAATTGCTTTATGGTTCCACTAGTAGTGCAAAACTTAGCTATGTTTCAGTTATTCAAGTAAGTTCCCCGGAACCAATATGGATCAAAGTCATCTCCTGTAGTTACTAATTGTCCCACAGGTTCCGGGTTGTGCTCCTTCTGAGTCAATCCAGAGCCTACTGATCTACAAGGGCAGAATCAGCCAATGTCAATATATGAAGTATATGCGTTGCAGAAATACCTTAAATTATGCACACGATTGTTAACTAGAAAACCGACCATGTTTTTCACTTTATGGAGTGTCTTAATCATGGAAATGTTGTGCACTAACTTGCCCCCTCCCATCAACTTGTTTAGCCTCCTAGATTTGTGTTTAGAAGATTAGTCGAAATTTTTTACTCAATACTATGGTAATTGTGCTCAATATAGTAAACTTACATCACTAGTTTGGGGACTGGTCTATGATAGTGTTGCAATCAACTAGATGTGTGGCCTTCAGGTCCATGATAGTGTTGTATAACCCCGTCCATGAGACGATCTGAATATTGAACAAATTTTGGCATGACTTGGGACATATTGTCTAGGTTAACCTGGACAATTATTCTATATATACAAATATCCTCCAAAGCACACATATATTAACTAGTCTATACAGAATACCTTTATAGCAGAGAGTTGCTAGAGGAACACTTAAATGCTAAATAGTACTTAATACCCACAAAAATTATTATATAGCTGCAAGTTAGTGTTTCTATTATTCGCTAAATGCTCAATATGACCATTATAAAGCTTCATATCTAATGATACTTGGTCGAAGGGGTTTTTGCCTTTGCTCGTGTTGCTCCCCACGAATAGATGCACCTATAGACTAGGATACATCTATTGAATAATCAAATATAAAGAAATCATATAAAATATTTTGAAATGTTTATGATCATTGAACTACACTATATGCATGCTTTAAGTTTCAGTTATAACCCATCAAAGAAATATTACTTCACACATAGATACCCATCAAAGAAATATTACTTCACACATAGATGAAGAGCTAGGACATATGCTTAGGTGGGCCTCCACCCCCCTAAAAAAACACGGTTTCATTATATACTCGGTTCAATCTCAAGTAGTGATTAATCGGATTATGCGGCGATAATTGGATTAAGCGGAATTGTACATTTTTGAAATTTTTAGTGTACAAATATATTCTTTATCACAACAAAATATCGTAATTCATGAAAAATATAAAACATACCAAACAAAATATAAAACGTACTTCAAGGCTATTCAAATTAAAGTCGTTATACACTAATGTGTAAAACTATTAAAAGTTCATAAACTAAAACATCCCAAAAGGTCAGAACACTTTAAAATACTAATGAAACTCTTTTAACTAGTCCTTATCATCTTTGTAGCGAATGTTCTCATCCATTTCTTCCTCAGAAGGAGCTTCAAAATCATCATCATTGCCCTCATGTAAATCATCACCACTAGACCCTTCCTCCTCGATCCCCTCATCAGTTGCTGCACTAGAGGAGCCCTCATATTCTATCCTTGTCCTTACAGCATGCCTTCTAAGTGTTCTTTTGCTCCTCCTGTGTGGGTCTTCATTTACCCCACTAGCTTCTGCAACAATCATCCAAGAAAGCTTGCTACCTGGAAAGATCTCCTCTTCCTCTTCATTCTCCCTCTAACTTTACCCAACGTCCTATTCAGTGCCATTGAATCATCATTAGCTAGAAGGACATCTTTGCTTTGGTCTCTCTTTGTTCTAACTTAGTCTTTTTTGGATGAGCTTCTTATTAAACTGCACAAAGGCAAAGACATTTATTCTCTTCGGATCTAGCCGATTCGTCTTCTTTGTATGTGTTTTTCACGTACAACAAAATATACAATTAGAAAGCATTCAAGCAAGTATTGTGATACTGAGATATTCTACAGATAATTTGATAAGGATTAAAGAGACTTTACCCCCTCAAATACACTCCAATTTCACTCTTAAGCCGAGGAACTACTAGTCAAAGTAAGTATTTTTGTTGCCATCCTCCTTAAATGAGGCACATCTCCTCCAGCTATCAGTTTTGAAAATCATTTTATTTAGCAATTAAAAGATTAGAAGTTAAGAGAAGATTAAAATTATCTATAATTAAGTGTATACTTGGGTCAAAGTTATCTCAAAGAGTATCGCTTCGCCAACCCACTTCATATGAGCCCTTCTGCTCTTTTGTATGTTATGAGTTCTTCTCATGCAATCTTGTCCTGCACTTCGTCGATCCCAAGAAAGAAAACATCAATGCAACGAAAAATAGCATTCTTAGCCATCGTACTCTTATGAACTGTCTTATCCCTACGGTAATGATAGGGATTCAAGTAATAAGTAGCCAAATGTAGTAGACTATCTAGCCTCCCTACTAAATGCTTCTCAATGATCTCAACAACAGGTCGAAATACAGACTCCTTCCTATTGCAAGCTAACTTTATCTCAATCTTTGCATCCTCTATCACGTCACAAACAAAACCCATAGAATGCCTCTTATCTGCATGGACAATCCTCAATAGCTTAAAAAGAGGAGCATAGATTTTGATGAGCAATGAGCAATCCCTCCAAAAGACATCGGAATAAATCGTGGACTTGGCTGATACCCCTAAGGGTGGGCATGGGTTAGGCTAGTTTAGGCCCATGACCCGGCCTGTTGGGCTCAAGGCCGGACCGGGTCAGAGTGGATGGGGTTTACTTCTCTGATCCTGTGGTTTTTTTAGCTTTTTCCTAATTTTATTATTTTCTAGCTTTTAAAGTATATTAACTTTGTATTTGTATTTATAATTTATTAAAATATATTTGAATTATTTTTTTCTATTTCACTCTTTATTTAAAATGATATATACACAAACTCACGCACGCATATAAAGATACACATCACATAGAAAAATATCGCAAACACAAAGATATACATGATTCAGACTTCGAAGGAAGATCTATGTCCAAGGGAAATTAATAACTTTCCTTTTTAGTTTAAATTTAAATTATAAATACAAGAGGAAAAAAGAAAAATGTTAACCGTTGATGTTCAAGAAGTTGAATTCCTCTGAGTTATATTCGTCAAAATGTTCGAGGAAAGGTCTTGTTTGCTGTCCTTGTGACTGTTTTTCTGCATCGGGCCGAGTCAATGGTAGGTCGGGATGGGCTGGGTCAATATGGGCCGGGTCAATGGTGGGTCGGACCTATTTCTTTGATTCGGGTCTGGGATTGGATCCGGTCCGTGACCCGAGTATATCACGGGTTGGGTCGAGCTCGGCCCACTACAGATTGGGCTTG